CTAATTCTTGTGGGTTAAACCCCCCCACCACCCCAAAGGGGCCTCAAATTCCTAGATCCAAAGCATAGAGATCCAAGAAGAAAAGTCAGGATGTGTTTCCTCTCAGTCTTCAGTCTGTAACAATGGATGCTGGAAAATACAGTCCACCGTAACTGAGTAGAATATAACTAACCAGTCTCTAAGCTTCAGGACTACAGATCGATGTTCTGTTCGACCCCCGTGGAAAACCGTGTCACCGTGACGTCGCTTGCGTAAAGTCGATATGCAATAATCGCGAAACCCGTTTATAATCCCGTGCAGCGTTCCGCTTGTGATCGAGGTTCGGGTTTTCCGGACCAATCCCCCCGTGCTACAGCACGAAAAAACGGACTGCAACGGTTTGACCCGGAAGCGCAAGATAGCTTTATCAATTAGCATTGAACAGCCGGAAGTACAAGTTGTCATGGCCACTGGGCATGTCCGTCCGTTGCTACGCGGCCATATATGAAAGACTTCCGCTTCCACTGTTGACAGAGGAACAGATTGCATTTCGACACAAGTACTATCAAAAAAATATTAATTTTGAGGAAATGTATGGCCGGATTTTTTCACTGTTCCTGTTTCACTCCGTTCAAAAGTATCATCACACTTGCAGTTTTGTGCAAGTTGTTTACGTTTTCTTAATAAACGATGAACGGCATATGTAAATGTAGCATGTAAATGTCCTCATAAGATAAATGTTTACAATATGAAATAACAATACTGATGTTATTTATTAATTTACTGTTTTATTTAAATATATTTAATAAATATGGTGTATAACGTTGTCTGGTATAATCTGTCCCTAAATTGAAAAATTATGTTTATATTTAATGTGCTTTTTTCATAGAGTATCACAATATTAAATGTATGTGTTTATTATTTTAACATAAATAATTTAATGGCAAAGCAAACACAAGAAACCATGGCATTGTTTACCTTGGCAACCATGGCAGAAACGACAGAGGACGGTAAAATCGACACGGATAAAAAACAACTTGTTGAACTTGTGGGGGACTTGAAGTAACGCACAAAAGCTTATTTTTTTCTTCAAAATCTTGGCTTATTCTCGCAGGCATATTTGCCAAACGATAACCTACATATTATTCGTTTTAATCATACTGTTATGTGGTTGGCAGATAACGAGACAGACTAGCAACGTTTAACTGACCCTAGTCTCTAAACGTTTTATTTCGTATTCTGTCGACAAACATTGTATATTATAAATTATATTTACATTTTAATAACTCACTTTTGTTTCCCTCAATTTAAGACGCTCCAATGCAGCGCGACAAGCAGAAATCGATCTGTTTGATCGATATATTAATCGACTGGACCCACAAACTCATTCGGAGTCTTTTGAAACAGCATCACAGCTGGAAATGGCAACGGTACGTATTTTATAGACGACGTGTGTTATATGCGTTTTGAATATTCTATCTTTGTATTTAATGTTAAATGAATAGTCATTACATCATGTTCAATACGTCGTGACGTCTTTATCGTCTCTTTCCACTCTAAAATTTTGAGGTGAAATATTCCTGTGTATGTAAATCTTGTCATTTAAAACGTGTTACGTTGTTCCGTGTTCTTTAAATAACATTACTGTGTTTTTAATTCATTTCAATGACGTCATTCGTTCTTTCATCATCGTCAGTCATGGCGTCATTCGTTCACTGTCTATCTTTTGATACCAGAGTCCAGGAAGGAAAACCCAAGTACGCACTCCAGAGAGACAACAGCTCCTGACACTGGAACAGAAATGGGATGTCGCCCAAAGCATGCATAAACAGATGACAGACGATTTGAAGAGAGCAAAAGACCATTCAGAAAGAGAGCTGAACAATTATAAGGTCTTTAGTCAAGAGAGACAGAACAAGCTCATGAGGCTATGACAAATTCATTTCATATGTTTATGTAATTGATTAAACCCCCTTTAGGCAACTCTGGAAGAAGCTGATATCCACTTGGCAGAGGTTAAAAAAGAATGTTGCCAGTTTGATCGTGACATCGGTAAAGCACTGCGAGACAAAAAGAGTGTGACGATGAGTGCTGAGAAGGTCATCAGATACATTGAGGATAAAGTAAGGGCCAAGGTAAAAGAAAACTTAAGATTGCAGGTTTATTCTGAAAGGAATTGTGATTTAAAATCACAATAAAGTGCCCACATTTTTCCAGGAGAACCTGATTGAGCAGTTGTATCAGAAGAATGCAGCACTCCTCACATACAAGAAAAAGCTACAAATCCAGTTAAAACAACAAGAGGAGATGGGTGAAGGGCTGACAGCTTTGGACTTTGAGCAGCTCAAGTTTGGGAATATGAAATGTAGGAAGCGACTGGATGAGCAAAACCTCAAACATATGGAACTCAAACTGCTTGCAGGGAAGACCTTGCATGTCTTGAATTCTGAGAAGGTGAGATGCTCAGCCAACTATAAAGTGGTCTGCAAGCCTGACAGCTGAAGATATCAAATATGTGTTGAGCTACACACCACAGTAATAGGACAGGTCTTGTTAAGGGTCATTACTATAGGAAACCCTTGGCCTTGAGCGGTCAACCGAAAACTGTGGGCACTGTAAGTGTCTAGAGAATTTTTTCAATATCTCTGTCTTGCAGGAGAAGCTTCAGACCTTGACACATGAGTCAGATGTGCTGAGCAGTGACATTGCTTTACGAATGAAGATACTGGTTAAGATTGAGGAGGAGACTAAGCAAGCAGAGGAGGTCAGGATAATGAAATTACTTATATGCACTTCAATTACCAACATGATGGCAGTAAATAACTAAATAGTTACAATTTTAAAATCCTGGTAGTCTGTCAACCATTAAATAATAAAAATAATAATAAACAGACTAAAAGATATTTGTACTAGTTGGAGTGGTACTCCCCTGCCCAAAAGCCATCATTTTTTTTCCTGACAGGAACGAAACAAAGCAGAGGCTCTGAATAGGAAGTTGAGGGGCCATTTGGCCGATTTTCACGTACCACATGTCCTACAATACATCAAAGTTAAGGAGTCTCATGGCCAGCTGCAGAAGAGTGTTAAAGAATGGGAACGCAAGGTGGAGATTGCAGAGGTGAGGATTCACCTAAGGTTTTTTTCCCCCCAAGAATTAATCATATCATTGTGTGTGTGTGTGTTTAATTACCCAATTATTCCAGATGGCATTAAAAACACACACAAAATCCTGGGCCAAGCTTCGGATCGCTGCTGGAGCCAGACCAGTTCCTGCATGACATGCAGCCATAGATGCTGGATTGTATGTGTTCTGAAACAACAAGAACTACTATGTCCTAAATAACCTCAATGCCCAAGATGATGTCAAAGATACCCATACATTTTGCATCTTTTGCTAAATTTCACTGAAGCACAAATGCATCAATATAAACAATAAAAATGCACATAAAAATGACACAACAATGCATTATTAATGAAAAGGTTTATTAGTTAGTGCTGTGTATATTAAATGCTACATACAGATATGTCAGCATGAATGTCACATCAACCGCCACATGAAGTTTTCTTACTAGCTCATACACAATCTACAATTTGAAAAAAAGCTAAGGAGAAGTATGTGCACTCGAAAGCGCACATACATGAAACAGATTACGGGGATTAACACAGCAGGCATGCACGGGGTGGAGAGGTCTCAAAACCATAGAGGAAGGCCATCAATCTTAACGTTCCCCTGTGGTCCTGACACGTCTGCCAAGAATATAGATATTTATATAGAGATTTTAAACAATATTAATAAAAAAAAATAATAATATACAAAACGTGAAAACAAACACAACATAGTTTTCAAATCTGACTGCTCGCTGATTCTTAATGCCTACAGTTAAAAAAAGCCCCATGGTATTTAAAACAGTGGTAAATAGATACAATAAATGGGAAACAAATTGGAGGCAAAGGGCTCTGCAGAGAAACTAGACGCCCCTGCTTAAGGCCAAAGTGTCACTATCACCTCGCTGTACAGTACTAGGCGAAACCTAACTGCAAGAGGGAGACGCTCCTCAAGGGCCAATGGTCAACATATAATACTGCACTGACTTGTAACAGAGCTGAGAATGTAATTTTGCCCCAGGTAAGATGATGCAAAATTGTGATGTGGGTGGGAGGGAAACAAAGCAGGCAAATGACGACTTGGACAGCTTGTTCTATTCAAAAACAGCTTTGAAGACCAATAAAAAAAAGTGGTAGCTCTTTTTTCTAATATTAAAAAAGGAGAGTACATGATTAAAAAACCAAATATTACTCTTGTATGAGTACCACTTACTCTCTAAATTAAATATGTATATACTACAATTGTAGTAAGTGTCAGTTTAAAAAACAATTTCTCAAAAGAACGTACTGGTTATCGTTTAATGAGTACGCAACACAGACATTCACTAACAACATCAGCGTGACGTGCGTTTTAAGTCAAGGCTTTAGAGGCCCAAAACAAACACTTTCCTTCCTGGATTCTGGGGGAAACCAAAAATCCATTTTGAAAGTTTTTGATCTTACGGTTTTTATAAAAGAATAGCAAAAAAAATGACTCGCCGTCATGTTGCGAAAGGCAAATGACTGCAGGCAAGACATGGTGTTGGCAGATTAGAGATCAAACACATGGATAAATCTATACAGTAGAGGAAGAATGACACTTAGGGTACTGTACAACAAGTACATGAGTCCTGTATGGGGCAGTGGGTGGTCAGGGCATGGGGCAAAAACCTTTATAAAATCAGACTCAATTTTCACACAACCTTGAACACACCCATTACAATCCAAACTACATCTACAAAGAGGCTAAAATTAATTTTAAAAAGGCAAATTAGAAACAAAATATAAAGAATGTATGAATCAGAACTTCACATGAAAACTACTTATAAAATTGTGGTGCAGTTTAAGAAAGACAACGCAATATCTAATGACAGGACTGGTAAACAAGTTGCATACATACTAACTGTGTACATACAGTAATACAGGAAGCCTTTTCAGTTTTTTTAGGCAATTTTCAGGACAGCTGTACTGATTCTCATGGTAATATGAACTGTTTGTATACAAGATTGAAGTTTACATTTCTATATAGATTCTATATATTTACGTATAATCTCAGTGAAATGTAGAGACTGTCTGAGGTCGTTATACTTCTGCTGGTTAACGATCTGTCTCATTTAAGGTGTGGTACAGTACAATGATGGTTTTTGGTACATACCATTAGTTGCCACAACAAGGGGAACGTCAACATTGACATATACAGACAGTTTCAACAGTTCATAACTTTGTCCCCCGTTTTGTTTTGTCGTTAGCTGTGGGGCGAACTAAATACACACAGTAGGCTGCCGGAGGTGCTCCAGATGTGTGTACATTGGACCAAGGCTAGTGATCGGAGTAGAGTTATTACGTAGAGGCACACATTATGCAGTATTTGAGCCATACTAGGTACTAACAAAAGTGTATAGCTGATTTAATATGAAGGATCAAGACTGAACAAATAGTTGCAGACCGAATCGTTTTTTGACTTGTGCTCTAAAGATCTGATGGGGGCATTGTGAGCCATGTCGGGTCAAGGAACCACAATGCAGGGCAAATGCCACCCTACTGGACTAGGGTCACAGTGTTATCTGGGATAGAGTTCGAGATGTCCTGTTCCCTCCTCCCAGGATTCAGATATAAACCAACAATCAATAACTTTTCGCCGATCAAATCCAATTAAAGTATGCCTCTTGATATCAAAAAGGGAATAACTACTTGTTGAGCATATGCATGTTTAGAACAAAATGAGGTACTATGAAGTCACTGGGCCTTGTAAGATTCATTTGACTGGAGTAGAAATTGCTAATACCTCTGCAAATGGTAATTGGGGGCACAAGTTACTGAATGAGAGAGGACACAGGATACCCCTCACCTTCAGCTGTGTGCTGGACAGTATGCTCCTGAAGGGCTCCTAGATCAGCAAAACGCTCTCCACACCATACACATTTAAACTGGGCATCTCTAGCATGCACGCTTTGATGCTTGGCCAGGTGTTCGCGTTGCTTGAAGCCCTTGTCACAACTGGCGCACTTGTAGGGCTTCTCTCCGGTGTGGACGCGTCTGTGCCGCTGCAACTCCGAGGAGTACTTGAAACGCTTCTCACAGTCGGGACACTTCAAGGGCTTCTCCCGGGAAGGGTCGCATCGGTGCTGCACGAACTCTGAGGAGGACAGGAAGCGTCGGTCACACAGCGAGCATTTGAGTGGCTTCTCGGTGCAATGGGAATTCTGATGGCGCTGTAGCGTGGTGGCCTTTTTGTAGGCCTTTCCGCACACGTCGCACTTGTAGGGCTTGTCTGGATTTGTGGGTGTCGAGGAGGACTCACCACATTTGTGGCGGAGCAGCTCACCGGACTGGCTGAAGCCCTTGCCGCAGGAGGCGCACTTGAAAAGGTTGTCCATGCCGTGAACATGCTGGTGGTACAACAAGTGGGACGGCTGCAGGAAGCCCTTGTCACAAAGGTTGCATTTGAAGGGGCGGTCGGCGGAGGGCTTGTGCGTGCGTCGGTGGCGCACCAGGGCATACTGTTGTTTAAAGCTCATCTGGCAGTCTTCACAGTGGAATGGGCGTTCCTCCGAGTGAGTGCGTTCGTGCTGTCTCAGGTCGGACGGACGCTTGAAGCCCTTACCGCACGTGGCGCAGCGAAATGGCCGAGCACCTTGCGGCTGACACTGGTGGTGGAGGAGCTCGGAAGATTCTTTGAAGTGCAACTCGCAAAGGTTGCACTTGAACAGGTGCTCACCCGAGTGGGCGTACATGTGACGGACTAGGTGGGATCGGTGCTTGAAGCTCTTCTCGCACACCGCACACTTGAACGGCCGTTCTGAGCTGTGGGTACGCTGGTGGTGGGCTAGATGAGAGGACTGGCTAAAGCTTTTGTCACATGTTTCACATTTAAAAGGCTTCTCGCCCGTGTGGACGCGTTCATGACGGGTGAGCTCAGATAAGTGACGGAAACCCTTGGAGCACACGGAACACTTGTAGGGCCTGTCAGGTTGTGAAGGCTCAAACGTAGGCTGGCCTGACGTCCCGACAGCAGCGCTGCCACTGGACGATGCTTCGTCGTTAGATGGTTGCCCTGGAGTGCCCGTTGATGAAGTTGGCGTGGCATTTCCAGAACCCGGCCGATATGTTTTTTCACATATGGAGCACTTCATGGGGTTGCCACTGTTATGGGCATTGTGATGCTGCGCTAGAGAAGTTAACAGGGAGAAGCCCATCTTGCACACTCCGCACACAAAGGGTTTCTGCTCCACCTGCATGCACTGATGCTCCAACAGGTCAGTGGCTTGGTGGAAGATTTTCAGACACTGCGTGCACTGAAACGAACGGTCTTGGCTCACCATGCACTGGTGCTCATGGGGATTAGCCAGATGGGAGATGTCATGGCCACATGCACCACACTTGTGTCCTTCCTCGCTCCCTACATGCAAGGAGGGCTGTTGCGCTTGTGCCGGATGCTGCTGCTGGTTGAGCTGCTGACTGTGATGTTGCTGGGATTGTTGCTGCTGCTGCTGCTGTTGTTGTTGTTGTTGCAATGCCGTGTCCGGCTGGAGGACGATGCCGTAGACAGTGCAGCCCAGTGTGTCCGCCCCTGGTGGGATGGTGTGCACCACTGGAGGCGGGGCAACAGCATGCTGCTGCCACGCCTCCGTCATCCGGGCTCGGGTGTACGGATTCAGCTTTGAGCCGTAGTTGAACCTCTTCCCAGACAAATTTAGGGGGAAGGGAATGTTGGACTGCCCACGATGGGAAAGGTGTGGAGGCAGAGAGGAACTTATTTTAACTTATTTCGTGAGAACGACAAATGAAGAAAAAAATTATATGTAATAATGTTTTCAGGAACACTTTGTGGCTTGATATAAACAGCGAACTGACATGGATGTGAGCATCAGCCAAAAGTGCAAAGGAGCTTAACCTTCTTCATCACCTTGGTACAGCCCTATAAGAGAAAAAAAAGAGAACTGAATGAAAAACGTGCAATAGAACACTCCACACATCTTTAGGGGCATTCACACTACAGGGCTCCACAACAAGGCTGGCTTGTGAAACAGTTTTGAGCCAGTTGATGGAACCATCACTTGCCACATCATACATTTGTTGATCTTGTACATGTCATTTTATGCCTTGCAAATTTAAACTTAATATTAAGATGAGTATTGTCATTGCATATTTTGCTGATTTGAATGATACCAAGGTAACATTATCTAACTGGCTGACAAAGGGAGTCTTTACACCACCAAGTTTAGGCTGCTCTGTACCCGTTTAAAATACAGCGTAAAGATGCAATGGTGCATAAAAACCAGGCTAAATTATGCCTGCTCTGACCCACCTTATTCCCTAGTATCAAACTGTACAGTTGCAATTGCTGTTAATGCATGTATGCCACCTCTGAGTAGCATTTAATTAGGCTAAGACAATTAACTGCCACTTTAGAAGCACTTATGTTATGTGACACCTTTGAAGTGTAAATTTGAGGTTTTGTTGAAACCGCTATAAAAAAAAAATGATCTTGGAAACATCAATAAGACAAGCTTAAAAATTACAAATAGATCCTTTTTTGAAGTTAAAAAAAAATTAAGATTCCATGAAAAATGTAAATCTTCTGGCATATAGAAAACATAGCTGAAATTAAAATGTGTGTGGCCAGTAAAGTAATTAAAAAAAAAAAAAAACATCTGAACTACTGGTCCGAATGGGATAGAATAAAATATCTGTATTGTTCAACAATAAGACCCCTGACACTGACAGCGGCTTGCATCATTAAAATTAACCAGAAGACATAAAGAAAGCTGGCTATTTAAGGCAACATGAGTTTTAAAAGATTGCTGGTGATCCTACTACATCAGCAAAGCGACTTGACGACCTTGGCCGTTTAACCACTGTTAATGTGAAAGGCCTTAATCTTTACTGCAACAGCTGGCTTTGAGTCTTGGCTCGATGGTCTTTAAGGCGATCTACATCATCAAATGGTTACCTGAATGTACATTTCAAATCATATCATACTAACTTAGAATTTTAAGTGCGCACTTATATTCTACCTGAGCAGAGCACCTAATAAACTAACAATAAGTAAACACAGTATCATATGCACCAAATGAAATCTGATCACAGACCACACAAAATGCATATGATACCCAAAATGCTGTCCAGGTAGGAAGCTCACTATGTTATAAGACACAGTCCTTTTGTCTCCAATCACCACATTAATAGACTGTTTACAAAAGGGGTACACATGCCCCAAAGCATTCATGCATGGTTAAGACAATACAATAACACAACGATATTGAATGACGCTAGATCGCCGCGTATTTGTTTAACGTTACACACAATTCGCGCACACATATTCGCGTTTTTTTTTTTTTACCGCGGTGCATAAAAGCCGGTGACAAAATTGTAGCTTTAGGTAAGGTAGCACTAATATTGATGTCCAACACAGAACCCTACAGTTTATAAAACCGGCGGGTTTTCAAGACACCTGGAAGAAAACGCATACACACAGCTTTGCAAAATGGCTAACGAATATTTGCAAGCTGGCTAACAGGCTAGCAGCATCTTTGCAACACAGACATCCTGCTACGTTTTGTTCACATATGCATATTACCTTTTTCATAAGCGGGTTCCACGCATGTTCATTCTCGGAAATATAAGTTTAAACAAAAAAACAGCTTATGGTGTTTCTGAAGGCCGTAAATCCTCCCACCGACCCGCGGTCTCGGCTAGGCCGCACCCCCTGGCCAGTGTCTACAAAAACACTTGAAAACCCTGCCAACTCCCCGGATCTCTCTTGAGTTGCTCCGCAGACCACGATAACAGCCTTTTCTGCGTTTGCAGCGCATTTAGGGGAGCCGACTGGCGAGGAGAGCCCGAAACATAGTGTGTTCTATTTCGGGCTTGGATCAGTGACCACCGAAACCCCCGACAGCCGCACGGGAACCTGAATAACACATACTTGGCATCCTCACAAAACATACCGGAACTTCATTAATTTGATTCAAAACCGGCATTTAGATTTACATATTCATACAAAAAACGTAATTATTACGCATTATATGTGTATATCGCTGTTTCAGGGTATAGGGGCAAATGGATATTTTATTAGAACACTTTTTGAGGAATTATTGTAGCATACGACATGATAATTGTTCATATGAAGCTTCAAAAAGAAAATCATCGTCAACATTTTGTTCGTGTGAACATTGTATGTTAGTGTTTATGCTAAGATGCAAGATTAAGTTTGTTTATATTGGCTCCATGTCATATTGACCGGCTGTAATGTTTTATAAGGGCAGTATGCAAAACAGCCGGAACGATTTTAATTGATCTTTGCTGTGGTGGGACGCTGTGATGAAGCACCGTTTGTTTTCTAGTGATGGGAGGTCCAAATCATTTCCAGAATAGGTTCTTTCGAATGGTTCGTTTCAAAGAACCGGTTCAAAACGTACCTACGCACTCATCCTATATCCTTACTTTGAATAAAGCCATGATTAGGAATATGATCCTAAATAAAACGGATGTCTCGGCTAAAAAAAATGACATTTCACTGTTTCGTTTGTGTCATAAATTATGATATGAAACTATCATACAATCAAGTGGCTCAAAACCGCTCGGACCGCTTTAGATTTGTGAATGAATCATTCTGACCGGTGCTGTGAACCGGTTCAACTGATTCACTGTAAAAGAGCCGACTCATAATAATGATTCGTTAATGAATCCTTTGGTTTGTTGTCGCGGGGCGCTGTGAAGAAACAGCAACATTTGTTTCCAATGGAAGCACTTTGCACGAGACAATAACGGTGTTTTTCAAGAAAAGTTTTTTCATTCTCTGATGCAGTTTTTTTTTTAAAGATTTTTTCTGTTAGCATGATTGTCAATTACAGTAGTAGCAGTTCTGAAGAGGAAACAGAAAACACTTCAAAAGATGATTCCTCACCTTTAAGGAAAAGAGGAAAACTTGACACTGAAAACAGGTTTGGTGGTTTCTTGACGTTTGATGGTTTCTTGATTTAGTTTTATTTTTATGTGCTTTTCCAGGGCTCTAAGTTCCTCTTTTTACCTCAATAGCATCAGTGAACCTTTGGATCGTGGATCTGTTAAAAGGAAAGCTGGCAAATCAGCCCACTCTACACCTCGACTGCCTCTTCCTGATAGCGTGAAGGAGATGTTCAGAGAATCAGAAGAACAGTGGATCGATAAAAGTGAAGAGCATGGAGGGCGACTGCGGTCCTTCCAGCATGAGCGGGGGAACTGGGCTACATGTGTGTTCTGTCCTTGTAAGCATTTTCCTCAAGTGTATTTCGGTCGATACTGTCATTTTTCTCTGAATGACCTTTAACCCTTTTTTAGATGATACTGAGGAGGCCTTTCTGGAGCTACTCAATGAAATGATGGTGGTTGCGGCCACTCACGGCATCCCCCTGTCCCTGTCTGAAGAATTTCACCTCAGTCTCTCAAAGACAGTGGTTCTGCGCCATCACTGGATCCAACCATTTATTCAGTCCATTCAGACCGGTCTGACACAGTTCCAGAAGTCAGTGCTATCTAATCAAAACCTCATTAGGGTTTTTCACACTGTGTTTAACCCCAGGTTGTCGTCATTTTAAACACCGCTTATAACCCCGGGAAGAGGAGCGTTTCACACTAGTAACTTAGAAGCATTGGTTTTTACCTGCGACTATCTGAAAAGTGAAGCAAGATAACCCAGGATTGCATTTATCCGGGGTTTAGAATGACCCAGGGTTAACTATTTTCAGTGTGAAAAGCCCTACTGTTTCATTATGCTGTATGCCAGTTGGTGGGTATCCAAGTCCGATTGTTTTCTCAGGTTTTTCTGCTTGGCTGATAAACTGAAGGTTTATTCTAATGCTGAAAAGTCTAGGTATGTCATTACTCTAAATCTTAATGACCCAACTCAGATGTGTATTTATGTCTTCCTTTCAAATAATGGACATGCACTGTTTTAATGGCATCAAGTTGTTCATGCAGGACCTTCCTTGGTATGGAAATCTCCACTGGAAAAACTCAGTTGCTTGAGCTCATCAAAATAGTGGATGAAACCATGACAGAATTCAACCTTAGCAACTTTTATAAGGTAAAACCTGGCATTGATTTCATATTTGTGACTCAAATACAATCAAATTTAGATATCATCTAACACTCTTCCTTAATAGGATCCTTCTTTCCACATAAGCCTTGCTTGGTGTGTGGGTGATCATGTGGAAAGACTGAAAAAAACATGTTTATCAGAATTGCAGGTAGGAACCCAAACACAGATCTGCACCACAAACTAAACAAGGATGAGTATTGATTAAAGGCAAAGGTTGTGGAGTTGGGCTGTTTTTTTTGTGTTGACATCTGAACCAATAACCTGCATTTTTTTTTTTTCCCGCAGAGTCTCGTTGACGCTCATGAAGACGGGCCATTTTACTTACAGCTCAACTGCACGGAGCTTCGCTGCAAATCGGGAAATAAAGTCTTTCTTTTCCCCCTCCAGTGATCTTGAAACTGTTTAGAATGTGAATTTTCAGGTTTGCTAACATGTATTGCAGTCAACATTTGTGTTTTAATACTTTTCATATTTAAGCAGAATATAATAAAGATTTGTACTAAATACTAACTGATGCATGAAGGATCTCTTTGTTACGTTATACAGTTTTGGTAAAGAGCATTTTATTGTACATAATTGCAACATGGCGATTTTTCACTAACCCAGGGCATGTATGCAACAGGGCATCTGTTGTTTAGCGACAAACAGCCAGGCCCTGGGTTTGAATTCCACTGAAAAATGCATCGCATTTTTACTATCAAGCCTGTTTACGAGCAACACACCACATCCTGAAACTGAAAGACTTTGTTTCACTTTCCACAGTTGTACCTTAAATACAGTCTTTGTTTTAATGACGGAACATAATCTTACAACCCCAGTTTTAAAGGCAACAAATAACTTGCTTCACAAATCATAGTTCATTTTATTCAAAAGGTCAGTTCATGTAAAAAACAAAAGCTCAAATAACTGAGCAGAGTTTGTACAAGTGTAACCTCGGTTAACCCATCCTGGGTCCTGGCACAATTGCAGTCACACAGGTTAAGCCGATATAAATAAGTCGTGTTGCACATTCTACATTCGAGACCACTTGATAAATATACATAAATCAATACTGGTCACGGACAGCCTGATAAATAGCCACTTGCTTGTTCGATAGGATCAACAGAAATACTGCAATGTCAGAACAATTTGGATAGAAAATGCATAAAAAAGCACTAGATAAAATCAGTAGATTTCAAGAAATAGGAGGTTAGAGGTTAAAAACTGTCAATATTTAAAAAATGTAATTGACACATTAACGGCAGGCAATTGCTATTTCAGATTAAACAACTGTAATTTGTGCATTAAAATCTATATAATATTAAAATGTTAGATTTGAATTGAAGAGTAAAAAAAATACAACTTCTATAAATGCTGATTGTGCCCAACAAAAGCCGACTATTTCACGCTGATCTCCTGATAAACCTGAAAGCGAATTACGATAATGACAAATCCCACCAAAAAAGCAGAACAGAGACCTGTCCCTTTGGCAAACCAGAATCTTCAGTTCAAAGTTAAACGGGAAGTGTGATGCCATCATGGTGGAAACAGCACCTTTTTGATGTGCTCAACTGTGGTTGCGTTCAACAGCATAGCGAGATGTTCATTCCCAGGCAGCTCGATCATGTGGACAGGCTGCTTCTGCTGGCCCACCCAGCGTTTCAACAGTGTCGCACTCAACAGGTTGACTGTTCCATCTCCATCCCCGTTGATGACGGTGGGATCTGTGTGTGAGAAGTTTGTGTAATTATAGCCTTGAGGTGTGGGGATGCCGCTGCCATAAAGGCAATAGACAGGAACGCCCGGAGGCCGAAGTGCATTGACCATTGTTTCTGTGTCCTGCCTCATGGCCCAGCCGTCCTCATAGTCGATATCTTTGAAGAAGCGCTGATAGTCTTGGACAGTGAAGCTGGTGTTGGAGGTTGAAACCAGGACCATGTCTTTGGGCCAGGTGTGGGCATAGGGGAAGAGCCAGGCGGTGGAGACGGCCGTACGCTGCTGGGTGCGGATTTTTAGAGAACTGACCAAAGGAACGTGGTCATTGTCACCTGTGATGGAACCGAAACCATCAAATGGTCAAACCAGTGATCGTAAAAGGGTTTTAATACACAAGTGCCATGTTTTTAGGGGTTGTTTTTCCATGTAAATATGTGCTAGACAGACATGTTTGCATGTTACACTCGCATGTTTTTGGAAACGCAAAAACACATTGTGTTGTATTTATGTATTTGTATTGTAATTATGGTTTATTTCATATGGTTTGGAACAACTTTTATACCATTTTCAAGTTTTTTTTTTACATTCTAAAAATAAAATAAACATAATAATGTTTAATATACACTGTAAACATTTTTTTTGTTGTTGTTTTAAATACAACAGATTACTGAAGTATGTTTTACAAGAAAATACCATTTCAGATTTTCTACTTCAAAATTTCAAGTTTAATTTTATGTGCTGTTTCTTTGTAATTGTAATTTACCAGCAGTTTCTGAGTGACCAATTTTTTAGTACGTGTATACATTTAAAAAAAAATTTTTTTTTTTTTTACAAATATCATTAATTATATCTGCGCTATAAAAATAAATGACTGGATTCAATTATTACATTGAGTTGACAAACCACATGACAAAAAAGCTTTAAAAATATGAATAGAAATATTATAATAAGGAGTTTTGTTCAAGAAATAATTATTAAATAACATTATTAATAAAATCATATTTAATTGCATAATTATTAAATAATATTTCCTCAGAAATAATAATACAAGACTATGACAAAATACTAGTTTTCTTTTTTTTTTTTATGTACATTTTTTCTTCATTATAAAATGAGGACAGTTGTTTCACTGTGACAGTTTTGACTTTCTGCCCTCCAAA